CCAGGCAACAGATCCACACCACCATTACTTACATTCATCAGAGCTGTTTCCAGAATGTCATCGATGGCAAAGTTGAAGAGGAATGGTGAGATTGGGCAACCCTGCCTAACCCCACTGCTCGAATGGAACAATGGAGAGAGGTGGTTGTATGCCCTCACTCTGCCTGAGGTGTTTTATATAGGGCTTTTAGGATGTTAATAAACTTCTCAGGCACACCCTTCTTCAATAGACAATCCCAGAGAACAGTCCTGTCCAACGAATCGAAGGCAGCCCTGATGTCAAGAAACACTACGATTGTTGGCCTTTGAAAGTATGGCGGTGTTCTAACATTTGGCGGAGGGTGAAGATATGATCAATACATCCTCGACCAGAACGAAACCCAGCCTGCTCCTCGCGAGTCAATCTTTCTCGGGTTTTGAACAACCTACGAAGTATGACGGAAGCCAATAGCTTGGACGCAATCGGAAGTAGACTTATCCCCCGATAGTTGTTACAGGAACGACGTGAACCCTTTTTAAAGATAGGGACAACTATCGACTCATTCCATGACGTTGGTACACTCTCTAGTTCCCAAACCTTTGTAAACAACGTCGTCAATTCCTTAGTCAAAAAGTCACCACCATCTTTAAAAAGAGCCGGAGGTAAGTCATCTGGGCCAGGTGATTTGTAACGCTTCAAGAGTTGGAGTTCCTTGCGGACTTCCTCCTCGTTTGGTGGATCAGTCGTCACCGGCCATGGAGGGCAGGACAGTCTGACCGATGTTGCCGGAGCAGCAGGCCAGTTGAACTGCCCTTCGAAAAATTCTGCCCATCGTCCAAGACGTCGATGGATGTTAGTGATTGGCATCCCATCATCCTCGCAGATTGTTTCACTCACACCAGACTTCTTGCTGCCAGTGGCTCGGATGAGCTGGAAGAGCTTCCGGTAGTTACCAGATGCAGCTGCTGCTTCCAGCTCATTAGCACGCATCGACCACCAGGCTTCTCGGTCCTTACGCAAGCTTTGCCCAATTTCCTTACGTAACATCCTTCGTTTATGGTCAAACTCACGGTCACCCGGAGTAGACCGACGGGCTTCAATGAGTTGTAAGGAACCAGAAGAAACCCAGTGCTTAAAAGCGGGACGTTTCGCAAACCCACAACTGACTGTTCCCGCCATTTTCATGGCGTCATGCAATTGCAACCAATGCTCATCTATACTTTTCGGTGGAGTGGTAGCTAGCCTAGAGGCTAGCTCGGTTCGATACTTACTTGCAACAGAAGTTGCAACCAGCTTGCTAACATCAATCCGTTGGTGGTGGTCACTTCGTTGTCCACTGAAAAGTAAGGCAAGATTGGCGCAGACCAAGGCATGGTCAGAGTCCAGATAGGTACTCCAAAAGGAGCGGCAGTCTTGTACACAACCACGCCAGCGGTAGCTGATCGCGATGTGATCAATCTGAGTCCAGGCTTGAGATGCAGAGGGAGGACGCCAGGTGGCACATCGGCGATGACTGTGCCGAAAGTTAGTGCTAGCCAGAAACAGGTTGTGGTCTGTGCAAAGTTGCAGTAGACGGTCCCCGTTATCTGACCTGCGACCAACAAGTCCCCATCGGCCACCTAAACGACTCTCTTCTGTGCCTAGACGCCCGACCTGAGCATTCAAGTCTCCGGCTAGTACTACAATATCTGTCGAACGCACTTTCTGGAGAAGAACAGATAACTGGTGGTAAAACTCATCCTTGATTGCATCCGGGCTGCAATCTGTCGGGGCATAGGCGGAGATGACGAAAAGACATCGTTTCTCACGCCGATTTCTTCTCACTTTGATGGAACTTTCTAATCTAACAGCACATAACCGACTGTTAATGGGGATCCAATCGACTAGTGCTGCCTCAGCTCTAGCGCTTAGTGCGACACCAACGCCAGCAAGACCAGACGAAGATGCCACAGGGTCCCCGGATAAAGTCTGATTGTAATCAAAAAGGCTTTGAACATCCTATTAGATATTAGTTCACATTTCAATATCATTATAATTTATGATCAAATGATAATGACTAATAATTATTAAAAGATATCTATACTATCATTTCACTTGAGGAATACTTAGAGAGAATCTATACATATATCTGTTCTAAATGTAGTTGCACTATCACTACTACTTACAAAATTCATCATGTTATTACCAGTATTAAAATAAAAAGAGTCATATTCCACATATTTTATAATAAACTTCTTTCACTAACGATCAATTTAACTAATAATCACACATAACAATACTAATTAGCTAAAACGTAAAAAGGGTATCATATCATTATTATTACTACTATTATTATTATTATTAATGTTATCAATTAATGAGAAATATGCAACACGAATCATCAAATGATGACCGTTTATTTATTTTTTTACATCTACATATAAATTACTACTTTTGATACTACTTAAACCCAATACTCCATTCTAACATATGATAACAATTGCCAATATATATATATATATATATATATATATATATATACTCAAATAAAATCAATATATACAAGACATATGATTACAAACAAATGAAAAGGAGTAACATTGAATGTTCTCCTCTTATACAAAGCTTAAATCATACGATAAATTTAATTTTCATCAAGAAAAAAAAACAATCAAGCAAACAAACAAGCATAGAAAATTCTTTCGATTTTGTAAAACTTAAAACATCTTAGAATCTAATTGTTCTTTCAAATGATAAGTAAGAATTTAAATGCGTTATTACCATTATTATCAAATAAACAAGTATAACATAACATTCTGTGGTCCTGAATGCTGTTAGAGGTATAAGGGAGGTTACCGATTCCCGGTAGCCCACATCATGGAAGGCTTCTTCTGAAAGTATCATAAAACGAAATTGGATTAGAGGTGGTGGTCTTAGTGACCTGAGAGCGTGACCGTAGTGCCCAAGGGACAAATAATTGAAGTCGGTCATACACGACCTTTTTATGAGTAATTTTCGTGTTAACCCCGTACTCGTTGAAACCTTACCATCGGAGACGGATATACGTGGGATAATGTGATGTGTGCATTTTTGGGGTTGGACCTTTTCTAACCTCACCCCTCCTTGTGAGAAGGCAGAATCGCTATTATGCTGGTTCTCTGAGGGAAATACCTTACTGCCGTCATATCTCTGTACAGTCAGAAGTACGAGTTCACCTTCGGAACTTGGGTTTACTGCTTTTAATCTTAAAGTTCTTCATCCGACCTGTGTGGTATGGTAAAACCTTGAGGAACGATTATTCCAGCCAGTAGAGCTCGATTGGTTCGTTACGATAGGCAAGCCCGATCACCAAATCAAGGTAACAACAACAGTCGGGACATAACATTCAGTGAATAGGTGAATTATAAAAAATGTAGGGAAAGAACTACAATTCAGATGGGTTTACTGCGCAGCATTTCGTTCCGTCCTACTTTATGGCAGTGAAACATGGCCGGTAAAAGTAGGGGATATTCGTAGGTTACTAGTATTCGATCATAGGTGTCTTGGAAGTATTGCTCGCAAATCCTGGGACAACCGAGTAAGTAATGCAGTTGTTAGGAAGAAGTTGGAAGAAAACTAGGGACGGCCAGACCAAAACATGGCACAAATCCATGAAGTGATTGACAAGTGAAATGAGCCATGTTGGTGGGTGTAGTCTACCTAGTTGGGATCGGCAAGACGATAACAACCGACGGTTAGAGACCTTGAATGACACATATCCCAAAATCGTTTGCAATAGCACAGGTGCATCCACTCTTTGTGTTCTCCCATATTCTAATCATCTGAATTCATGTCCCTTATTTTTTCTCTTTCCAAATTTATTTCACTGGATTTTACCCATTGAATAACAACTTCAAACCCTAATGTTTTCGACTACTGCTTATACTTTTACTACCTCTATCACTATGAGATTTGAATCGACGATTGTATCTGTGTGCTAATGTGGTACGGCAAGTTGAACTGATGTACGTACGTACGAAGTTCTACGTTGTTACTGACCGACTGACTAATCTAAAACTTAAATCACCAATAAAACTATTAATGATATCTAAAAAGATTAGTATAGGCTAACAAATAACGTTTATCGATAGATTTATCTTTAAAAGTAGAAGTATAAACATAGTGAATCAAGAGAATAAATAAGGTAATATACCATGTATGATTACATTACAAAACACTGGAAAACTTTTGGAGCGAGAAATCCTAAAGAAAATTGAATTGAACTATGTTCAATGGACTGTTTGTAACTAACCATCCTTGAGAAAATCTCAGTTATCAGAAATTCTATGTTACAGTGAACTGGTATCAATCACATAAATATAGTAAAAATATTATAAACATTGCCTATCTTATGCTGGTATAGATGATACATCAAACAATGGCGGTACTTAAATTACACAGTTAAATAAATCCAAAAACAAATGAATAACTGCTATATTTGAAGAGATTACGAGTTCACCTAATCTACGAACGAAAAGAAGACTAAGTGACACAATGACCAAATAAGCTAACTATTCCAATGCATCCCAGCTCTGCTAACTAGAAAAAGAAGTCCAAGTAAGAAGAGGGAAATGTATTCACAAGCAGCCAGAAGCATGAACAACAACCACATACACAATTCAAGCGTATATATACAGCATAAGTGTCCTTGGGAAACGTTACAAAATAACATATTAAAAGGAACAATGGACCAGTGACATTTAAGGTCTTCCCAAGTGGAAAATACGACATGAAGATGAAAATGGGCTCTTTTGGTGGCACGAAAATAAGAAATTCAAATCCTCAACAAGAACTGAGAATCAAATTGATATATGGTGAAAATTAGAGACAGTTGTAACTTTAAAATTGATATTAAAGAAATCAATTATTCAACCAGAATGTCATAAACAAAATCACGAGATCCTTTAAGCCCGAAAAGTGAATAGAATAGAATAGAACAAATATATCAGATTCTGATTAGTACCTTATAAAATGAAAACAAGAAAAACACAATTTTCACTTACCATAAAGATTTATTTCGAAGTACTGGTGGTTTGTAACTACGCATGCCAAGTATTCGTAAAGCTCTATAAATAAAATAAATTTCCATACAGAAAAAAGTATTAAACTATATGATGATAGAAATTAAAGAGAAACTCTATGATAACTTCTCAGGTAAGTGGAAATCATTACGAAATTTACAACAAAGTGACATGATCAATTTGTAATATAACTTAGAAGTTGTTATGTATAACGCATAAAAAATTAAGACTTTACATTTAAATCTATCCAAATTACTTGCCAAATCTTAGCTTGTTCACTTAAAACCATTGTGTGAAACTTGGCCGTGATACGACTTATCAGTAAATATTAAAGTAGGTGGAGCAATGTACGAACCTATAAGCTATTCAGCTAAAGGCTGGGTCCTTTAAACTATCAAGCTTTATCTATTTGAACACATAAATATTGGTACAAAGAGGTACTGAATACAGATGCGCCACACAAGTCACTTGACTTATATATGTGCTCTAATACTGCCCGGGGGCCCAAACTAAAGCAGGTGGGTTTTTTTATAGGGTTACACCCGGAGCCTTCGACCTAAAGGTCCGATCCACAAGGAAGTGGAGCAACGTCGGGAGATGTAATCCCATGGTAGCCGATGACTAACAATAGGTTCATAAGCCTTTCGTTCCATCAGGATCCTTTAGCCCATATGCAGCATTGGTTTGGAATCAGGGTTTTCTAATTCCCTTAAGTGGATCATTCGCTTATCGTCCTCGCAATTTCGTAAGCAACATTCTCGCCGCGAGATGAAAGTGAGTAGGACTTCCCTGGTAGTGGTTGTATACGCGTGGCCATATGAGAGCATTTGGAAAGGGAGAACTAACTCTCCCTACCCTCAGTCATTTGTAAACAATGCAATGGAAAATTTCAACTTGGTTATCTATACAGAACTTAAAGCTATGCTCAGATAGGTTGACTTGAGGTTATAGACCAGTTTCAACAAACCACAATAAGATTGAAATATCATAAATTAATTTAATTAAGCTTTTGTTTTGTTGACTTAAAATTTGCCTACAGTAGTTATGTAGCTGAGGTTGTATTTACAGAACTAGACAAAATATTTTTATAAATTTCACAAAGAACGATGTGAAAATAAAGGATGAAAGAAAATACACAAGACGAACAGGTATCGAATATATAAAATGTTTGGTGTTAGACCAACATTGAAAACCTGGAAGCACTGGACGGTTGTTTCGTCCTACTCTTGGGACTCCTCAGTAGTGCTCATCCACGATCCCGCTCGCGGGGACCTTCGGACTCGCTTAATCTCTAGACCGCTGCGTCGGCACTCAACGGTGTTGATGTCTAACCTCAACCAATCCACGAAATTACGCAGCCATCTTCCATTGTACTGAGGTAGATACCTGTCTCTACCCGACACGGATAAAATCCCGAATCCCGCAAGCAGGATCGTAGATGCGAACTGATGAGTAGCACCACAATAGGACGGAACGACCTTCCAGTGCATCCAGAATTTTAATGCTGGTCTAACATCAATCAGTTCATGATCACAATCAAAAACTTAATAGTATCCACAACCCTATACTGATGGGTATGGAATACTTTCGAAAAATTTGGTCATGTGTAGTCTTTACTGTAATGACTTTTTTTTTTAAAGTTGATTTTCAACAGCTCAGTCTCTATTTTATTTATTGAAAATGGACCAATTCAGAATGGAATTACTAGTCTTTATACTGAAAGTGAAGTATACGAAAGAGATAAATTAGACAGTTAGTTGATACGAGTTTTAAACAGGACGAAATGCACGTCCTGGACTCTACTGCTAACCACCATTCATCTTTGCTTATAAAGTTAGTTGATGCATTTGAAAATTTCCTTGAATGAATACAACCGCTAGTGTTGGTATTATTTTCAACTGTTGAACTGCTTCACAACAGGTAATATGCATAAGCCTAGATCCATACACCGAAAACAGAGAGAACTCCTTCATTTTCTTTTCACAGAAACACACAAAAAAGTCAATACAAACTGTGAATTATTTACATATTATATTATGCACAAATACATATACAATAGCACACATATTCAGACGAATGTAAATTTTCTCCGTATATATATATGTGAACTAGGTTGTAGATTGGAAATAAGAAAAAATTATCTTTCTTTTTTTCAAAGATCATTTTCTTTCATGTTGTTTAGTCTACTCGATTGCAATAGATAATGACTTGAAAGGGATTATTAAGTTTTTGCCAACAAAGAAAAAGAAAGAAAACATCACCACCACCATCAGTAACAACCAAGTGACGATGATGATTGATTATCGAAAATCGTTGCTAATAAATTTGATAGAAATATCAGTATAATTAATACCGGCTTAGTGGTCTAGTGGTTAAGCGCTCGCACGCGAGGCTGATAGATTCTGGGTTCAAATCTCGAGGGGACGGGACCGTGGGTGCGCAGTGCTGAGGAGCCCCATATTAGGACGAAGCGACCGTCCAGTGCTTCCAGGTTTTCCATGTTAGTCTAACTTCAATTGACTCATGATAATACAAATAGTCGTTGTTCAATTTCCAACTGTTAAATTCATTTTTGGTAAAATATTTTTTCAATGATAAAAACAAAAATAAATCAACAGCAGCCAGTTTTTTCCTAAGAGATAGGAGGAAATAAACTCTAGTAACCTTTTGTACATGGTTATTAAGATAAACTAATGACGGATTTATGTAATTCAATACACTTAGGTATACAGTTGGATTCATATCTGAAGACTATTCAATCTGGCTATTGTTATGACTTGAACTTGGATCGATTTTTACCCCGTGCCAATTGTTGTGTCCTTGACTGAAAGATTAGAGAGCAGTGTAATATCGATCGGACCAAAGACGCGTACGACACGTAAGAACGACCTACAGTCTGATTGGCCCTGCTTCCCTGTCTACCCCAGCCAGTTGAGTCCAGAACGCAAGTCTCAGCCTCTGAGATATGAATCATTGTATTTCAAGCATACTCTGTTTATAAACCAATCAACCCAACCACAACGTACCAATAAAATAGAAAATAACATTCGTACAATAATTAGCCAGAAGTGGCTGTGAATGAGGGAGGTAGCGATTAACAGATAGGGAATAATTCATGAATGGCATATCGTACAATAGTAGTTCATAGGTCAACATAAAGTTCATAATAAGAGGGGTATGAATATGAACAGTTTAGTTGCATAACAATTATACGATAAAAATATACTCATAGTATTGGTCCATAAATGGAACCCAAAAATTACCATTCATTATTCTTATCGGTACACAACAGTTATTGAAATACAAACTAGATTCAGCGTTTGAGGTTTACCGATTCCACACGGTGAACCAAGTTAGGATTATCTCTTATCTTTACAATGTTGTCATCATTTCAATCAAATGTTTATGCTTCCTTCAGTAAGAGAGTCGAAACAAGTACTTGTCAGTCTTGAGTGCAGTTAGAGGTATGAGGGCGGTCCTCAATTCCCGGTTGCCCACATCATGGAAGGGTTCTTCTGGAGGAACCTCAAAACGAAATTGGACTGGAGGTGGTGTTAGTGACCTGAAAGCATGACCGTAGTGCCCAAGGGACAACTGACTGAGGTCGGTCACACACGAGCTTTTTGTCAGTAATTTTCGTGTTAGCTCCGTAATTGTTGAGACCTTACCATCGGAGACTGATATATGTGGGATAAGGTGAGGTGTGCATTTTTAGGGTCGACAGCAGCATCGCTGTTATGCTAGTTGTCTGAAGGAAACACCGTACCGCCACCACATCTCTGTACAGTCAGCAGTACGACCTCACCTTCAGACCTTGAGTTTACTGATTTTATTCTCATCGTTCTTCAACTGACCTGTCTGGCTTGGTAGGACCTTGAGGGACGATTGTTCCAGCCAGAATAGCTCGATTGGATCATCAGAATAAGCAAGCCCGACCACCACATCAAGGTAACAACAACAGTCGGGAAACAAGTGCTTGATGCTTATATCATTGAATACAGATGTTTCGATTAAAAGATCTAAAAAATATAAATGGTGCTAATAACCTTCAGGGTTTCCGATAGATGAACAAAATGCTTCTCCAAGCTTTATAATCCATTCTGGTGTGTTCTGTCGAACTGCCAACTACACTGTACGGAAATATTCGATGTGAAAAATTCCACAAAACTTACAGAAAAGTAAATCAGTCGTAAGCAGTGTAGAGTCTGGCACAAATGTCTATTCAGTATAAGTTCCCCATTATAACCGCATGGAAATAAATTATTAAGACGAATTTCAGAATAGTAGGAGTAGCAACAGTATCAGTCACAATAGAATGAATTTGTAAAAAAGAAAGCATAGGATAACTTCAAAACTCAAGTTTTAACAGAAGACAAAGTGTGAATGATTCTGTGTCACAGTGTGACCGATTCTAAGCCATGTCAACTAACATCAACAATTGATGATGATTATCAGGACTTAATTTAACAGACAATGACTTCATGGATAAATACCATGTTTTGTTACAGTCTCTTCTAGCTTTAGTTCAAGTTATACCTACTCCAACCAACATTGCACATCGAAATAAGCGGTTTTTGCGGATATGTGTGATATACGCAAAAAACAGTTAAGTCGTCAGCTAGTCAGCAGCAACGTACAACTTCGTACGTACGTACATCAGTTCAACTTGCCGTACCACATTAGCACACAGATACAATCGTCGATTCAAATCTCATAGTGATAGAGGTAGTAAAAGTATAAGCAGTAGTCGAAAACATTAGGGTTTGGAGTTGTTATTCAGTGGGTATAATCCAGTGAAATAAATTTGGAAAGAGAAAAAATAAGGGACATGAATTCAGATGATTAGAGTATGGGAAGAACACAAAGAGTAGATGCACCTGTGCTATTGCAAACGATTTTGGGATATGTGTCATTCAGGGTCTCTAACCATCGGTTGCTATCGTCTCGCGGATTCCAACCAGATAGTCTACACCTACCAACATGGTTCAGTTCACTTATCAGTACCTTCATGGATTTGTGCCATGTTTTGGTCTGGCCGTCCCTAGTTTTCTTCCAACCTACTTCCTGCTTCCTTTCACTACTTCATCAATTGATTTGCCATCCTTTCCTAGTACCCGTTTCCTAACAACTGCATCACTTACCCGGTGGTCCCAGGATATACGAGCAATGCTTCGAAAACACCTATGATCGAGTACTAGTAACCTGCGAATATCCTCTACTCTTATCGGCCATGTTTCACAGCCATAGGTAGGACGTAACGAAATGCTGCGCAGTAAACCCGTCCTTTGGTTGATAGACGGATATCTCGCCTACGCCATAAATGACGCAAGTTGTCAAAAGCTAGTCGAGCTTCTGTATTCGTGCTGAGATTTTGTCACACACCAGACCACAAGGGGTGATGAGATTTCCAAGATAATTGAAGCGGTCGACACGCTCAACTACTTCACTCTCTAACATTAGTTCAGATGTCGATGCAACCCAATCCTGAAGCAACATTTTCAATTTGGAGGGGGAGAATCGTATGCGGAACACGCTTGCATTGTTGCTGAGAGTGGTCAGAATACTATATTTTGTTAGCGTTTTCGCCAAATAGAACTATGTCCTCAACACATTCTAAGTCATCAAATGAATCCAAACCACTTCAGACGATAGAGATTCATAATTTGAACCAATTTACCAATTTTACCTAATATATACATGTAAAATAATAATGACACTGATCCACTTATATTAATAGCTTGAAGGTGTTGCAAGAATAAACTCAAATAGATACAAAAATATTCTAAGAATTAAGATGAATTATGAGTAAATATATATAAGATGGTATCATAACTCACCTTAGTAACAGATAACTTGACAAAATATCTATAGATATTTCAGCTTAACATCATCATCATCAACATCATAGTAAACGAAAAGATTATTTTCTCTTTAGTGAACTTATTTGACCCATTTAAATGTGAAAGAGAAATTCTCTAATGATTTTCATTAACTACAACTAATCCAGTTGATTTGGGCACTATCAAACTGATATACTTTTTTGATTGATATAGACTACTAACTTATTCAATACACTACTCAATGATAAATCATAATCATTTGAAATTATTATTAATATCGTTAATATTACTAAAGATTTCCTAACCACTGGTAAAACATATAAATCAGTCAGCTACAACGTAGGACCATGCAAATATATGCATTGGTCCAAGTTGCCATACCACATTAACAAAACAAGATGAACACCGGATTCATAGAAGTAGCCACTTCAATGACAGTAACATATAAAAGAAAAATTGCGTGTAAGGATATAATACAAGAAAGAATTAGTTCGTAGAATGAAAAATACGAAGCGATTTTAATCTCGCAGTTTAAAGGAAGACAAAGAGTGTATACACCAACGCCATTGTGATCGATTCTGAGCCACATATAAAAATAACAAGGTCAAAATTAATCCATCTCACCTTCCTTTTTATTATGAGCTTTTAAATATAACACACTTTGATATTTATCCCGTTTAAATATGGAATACACAGTGAATACATGGCATGCTGATAAGCTTTGAAACTAGTAAAGTAAGCAATTACTTATTTACTAACAAAACTATTTAGAATAAGGGCCAGTGGCTCAAACTTTGGCCACTATAATGTCCCAGATCCGAACTCCATCACATTTACTTCCCCCAAACAACCTGGTACGGTCGAGGGTAGAGAGAGTAAGCTCTCCCTCTTCAAATGCTCTTACATGACCATGTGCATACAATCACTACCAGAAAAGTCCTACTCACTGCATTTTCGTGACATCGATGTTGTTTACGAAAGTGAGAGGACGACAAACGAATGTCTGGCACTTTAACTGAGTTGGTGAACACGGAGAGTCTACATAGAGGAGTTGGAAAACCCTCATTCCAAACCAATCGTGCACATGTGCTTCAGTATTCTGAAGGAAAAAACGGCATATGAACCTATTGTTGGTCACCGTTTACCATGGGACTGCATTTCTTAAAGTTGCTCCACTTCCCTGTGGATCGGACCTTTAGGTCGTAGGCTCCGGGGGTAACCCTACAAGAAAAATCAACTGCTTCAGTTTGGGCACCCGAGCAGGATTATAGTCCATATAAAAATCAGATGACTTGTGTGGTGCATATGTATTCGGTGCCCCTTTGTACCAATAATTATCTGTTCGAATAAATGTTATATATATATATATATATATATATATATATATATATATATAGAGAGAGAGAGAGAGAGAGAGATCGAAACGATCGTTTTTAGAGAGACAGAGGGCAGTCACAAACAAGCTACTGACTCACCTAGAATACAGTACAATAAACAATTTTCAATTATTCACATAAAAATATTAAATTTATGGTATTTTGTCAGTCGAAATTAAACTTATAACTTGATTTCTAACAATCTTATCGGTTCGTAATTATGAATAGTTTAATAGAACTATGATAAATATCTTATGCTGCCTAGGATACACTACAGTTGATTGTTAAAGTGACAATTTTCAACCAAATCAGAACAATATCAAATTAACTTAGCTACGATCCAGAAAATGTGTATTCAATATGTAGTAAATCGATATGAAATTGTATATTTGATGTAAGTATAGTTTAGCCTTAGTTCTCATCTCACCCTATATAAACTTCAGTGTCTATAACAAAATTCTGTTCAATATAGTTACTGTGAGCAAAAATGACCTGCTTGTTTTGAAATTTGAAGATACGGTATCTTGAACAATTCCAGTCTAGGAGAAAACACATGTTTATTGATCACTGATTTTAGGGCAATTTGTGAAACATATTAGTCCATGATCAAAAATATCTAGATTCAGCAAACACTAAATCGTTACATCAGCTATACTTACATAACTAAGAAAAAAAATGTCTCATGTACTCGGTTGTCTGAACCAAAGTACATTGAGCAAGATTCGAACATGCAACTCATAAGTGAAAAGCAAAACAATATGATTATTTATCCAACATGATTACTTATACATACACCAGTGATTGTAAATGTTTATGTTTACGCGGATAAGTGCTTACACAAGCAAAGATAAGCAGAAGTGATATGTTAAGGTTAGTAAATGAAAAATGTAAATCATGTATTTTTATGCGCAAATGACTATCTTATATACTTAAAACGAATGTTTGTTTCCATGACGTACAAACTATTATAAGCATTATGTAAACAAATGGGGTTGATTTTGTGTTAAGAAAAACAAAATTCGATATGAGACCACAATTACACAAAGAAGACTACAAAAAACCAATAATAAGTTGAAGAATCGTCAAAATTTTCAATGTCAGGAGGATTTACAAAAGTTAACTGCTTGAATACCGTCAAAATAATTTTTCGTATATTGAACTGATACAGAAGAAATTACAACAGATATCTGTTTAATAAATCGACATACAAAAAGTTGTTATGCTGTGATGCTAACTATGAGCTATAACATACTTTCATTTGGCTTTTCAGATGTACTTAGTATTAAGATTTAAGTCGAAATAAAAACATGGTATAAGAAGTAATACAAATCAATACATAGTGTCCATCTATAGTCATTGATTTTGATATTAGACAAGTAGACCCTTGATACTTAACTCCTTCAATGCTAAGCATGAATAACCAACCCTATCGTACAGCACTAATTTAAATGCTGTCAAACAATTGGGACGAGATTTACAAAATTGATATACACAAGAAGAATCCAAATTTTTAGTCACTTTTTATTTAAATTATCTCTCTTGTATATAGTATTAAAACTCCCAAATGTAAAACAACGAGGATAAACCCAGATCCCCAGTTAAGATAAGCTGATACCTCTTGATAATAAAGAGAAACAATTCCAGATACAACTTCAATGAACAGTTAGCACAAACTATTCTCCTCAACTTTTTGTGTCAACAACCTCCCTTTACTAGCTAATCTATAAATTAAATATTCAATAGGAAATTTAGTTATAACACCATACAAAATCAAACTAGTTTAACAACTAATGCGCATAGATATATTTGAGTATGCCTCTGGGAGTATAGTTAAGACAACTGTATATTAAGAGTTTATTATTTAGTTATTTATTTAAACAAAGAAACATTGGTACAAGGAGACACCGCATAGGCTGTGATACTGTCCAGGTCCTCAAACTGGAGCATGTGGTTTTCTTAGGAGGCCATACCCGGAGCCTTTGACCTAAAGGTCTAATCCACAAGGGAGTGGGGCAACGTCGAAAGATGTAATCCCATGGTAGCCAGTGACCAACAATAGGTTAGTACGCTTTTTGTTCCCTCAGGATACTGGGGCTCATGTACACGATTGGTTTGGAATGAGGGTTTTTCGACCCCACTAGGTGGATCCTCCATATCCACCAACCCGATTAAAGTGCCAGACATTCGTTTTTCGTCCTCTCAATTTTGTAAATAACACCCTGCAGCAAGAAGGTAGTGAGTAGGATTTTCCTGGTAGTCGTTGTATGCACGTGGCCATGTGAGAGCATTTCAAGAGGGAGAGCTAACTCTCTCCATTCTCGGATGTACCAGGGCATTTGGGGAGAGTAATAAACTAATAATCAAGGAAAAACTTGAGTAAAACCGATAAAGCAAATAATTGATGCACTTACAGATTATCAGTGATTAGATATTATTTGAAGATAGACTATCATTTGCAAATAATAAATTAGTTGTCACAGTGTAAATTAAAATGAATATATGAAAAATAAAGCGTAAAAACAAACCTCATAGGATGTAAATCAAATAGTGGAGGTTGTAGTTCAGCATATTCAATAGCAGTAATTCCTAACGCCCATACATCACATTTCTCATCATAACCACCTTTACGTTCAACAGCTGCAACTTCAGGTGCCATCCTTAAAAGTAAAAATATACAAGGTAAACTGACAGCATACATGTGAGTTTTTACTTTGTCAATGGAATAAAAATGGAAATAAAAATGTGAATTAAACGGAGGATTTTTCTTTAAACTTGTATCCATCAACTGGATGGTTAACTTTTGCATAACGACAATCCAGTAAATTAGTCTATGAGATACTCTTTTCATTATTTACGTACAACTTATTTAAAGAAAATAGAGATTATGTTTAGCAAGGAAATGATAATCCCATAGTTATATACTTGAACATATTCATATAATGAATAAAGTAGTGTTTAACGTGAAGTATCGTTCTACAGAATCTATTTATGGCATGATAAGCAATGTCTTTAATAAAGTTTTCAAGTCCATTCTGAATCAAGGCATTATACCTTGCATTATGTTTTTTTTGAAAAATCATTTGACTTCAACTCTAGAAGAGCAAGGAAGAAGTGAAACAAAAAATGTGTGCTTAATTATTGTCAGACAATAATATAGAAGTGTTTTAAGTTCAATATCGATAGTGAGATCCAAGTTATTAGATGGAAGAGAAAAAATTCAATGAAAATACTAAACTATATGAAACAAGTCGTGTCACCACAGGAAAACTCCATATCAATTTGTGAGAGAGATGATATCATGGGAAAGATCTTAATTGATCTAGGATTAGGTGACCTATGGAGTTGGTTTCTACCAATCATCTAAGTCATTTAATCATGTTTATTTCTTTAAATATTTGTATGTAAGTGCTATATTTGATTTATTATTTATTTGGACACATGAATATTGGTACAAGAGAGCGCCAATATATATGCGCCACACAAAACAATGAAAATTCGAGAGGAATACAAAGAGAGAAAAAAAAAGCTAAGGAGCGCAACAAAAAAAGAGAGAACAATAACGAAGAGATTGGTGTAAGGTAATGTGCTAGTAATCAGGGAACGCAAAGGTACAATCGCAAGAAATCTTTCAGGTAAGGGAGACACAACCACTTTTTATGAAGAAAGTAAAAGAAGGTTACAGCAGGATCGCCACTGGCTTCTATTCTGAGCCATATCTGATAACGTCTCTAGCCACTGTGTAGCACCATCTCTCAGACCCCAACCAGGGAGTCGTGAAGGACCAACACAAGCCAGTCCTTTGCAGCTTTCTTTCATGCCACGACACCATGTCATGCACTGACCACCTCTCCGCTTCTTCCAACCAGTCCCAGAGTCGGCAAATAATGCACGACGTGGAATTCTCTGGGACGACATTCGGAGAACATGTCCAAGCCACCGAAGTCGGTGTTTCAAGATGGTGACACCAATTGAATTATCATCTCTGTGCCCGAACACACGATGCCGAACCTCTGCATTACTGACATGGTGTTGCCACTGAATGTCAGCAATCCTTCGGAGACAGCGATGATCGAACACAGAGAGTCGTCTAACGTCCTCAACTCGGAGAGGCCAGGTTTCACAAGCATAGAGCAAAACTGCTCTCACCGACGCGTTGTAGATCCGACCTTTTACAGCCAGACTAACATCACGAAGGCGCCAAAGGTGGCCCAGATTGGCATAAGCCGCTCTGGCTTTCACTATACGTGCATTGATCTCATCACTCACACCCCCACCAGCACTTATGCAGCTACCCAGATACACGAACTTCTCGACTACGTCTATCTGCTCACCATCCAGGGTGAGTACAGGATTGGAATCCTGCCAGTCTTGTAGAAGTACTTTGCACTTCGAAGGTGCAAAGCACATACCATACCTACGGACACTGATTGCCAACTGATTAAGTGCGGATTGCATGCCTTGGGCATTATCGCACAGTAAGACAATATCGTCCGCATACTCAAGGTCGAGAAGTCTTTCTCCAGGCAACAGATCCACACCACCATTACTTACATTCATCAGAGCTGTTTCCAGAATGTCATCGATGGCAAAGTTGAAGAGGAATGGTGAGATTGGGCAACCCTGCCTAACCCCACTGCTCGAATGGAACAATGGAGAGAGGTGGTTGTATGCCCTCACTCTGCCTGAGGTGTTTTATATAGGGCTTTTAGGATGTTAATAAACTTCTCAGGCACACCCTTCTTCAATAGACAATCCCAGAGAACAGTCCTGTCCAACGAATCGAAGGCAGCCCTGATGTCAAGAAACACTACGATTGTTGGCCTTTGATAAGTATGGCGGTGTTCTAACATTTGGCGGAGGGTGAAGATATGATCAATACATCCTCGACCAGAACGAAACCCAGCCTGCTCCTCGCGAGTCAATCTTTCTCGGGTTTTGAACAACCTACGAAGTATGACGGAAGCCAATAGCTTGGACGCAATCGGAAGTAGACTTATCCCCCGATAGTTGTTACAGGAACGACGTGAACCCTTTTTAAAGATAGGGACAACTATCGACTCATTCCATGACGTTGGTACACTCTCTAGTTCCCAAACCTTTGTAAACAACGTCGTCAATTCCTTAGTCAAAAAGTCACCACCATCTTTAAAAAGAGCCGGAGGTAAGTCATCTGGGCCAGGTGATTTGTAACGCTTCAAGAGTTGGAGTTCCTTGCGGACTTCCTCCTCGTTTGGTGGATCAGTCGTCACCGGCCATGGAGGGCAGGACAGTCTGACCGATGTTGCCGGAGCAGCAGGCCAGTTGAACTGCCCTTCGAAAAATTCTGCCCATCGTCCAAGACGTCGATGGATGTTAGTGATTGGCATCCCATCATCCTCGCAGATTGTTTCACTCACACCAGACTTCTTGCTGCCAGTGGCTCGGATGAGCTGGAAGAGCTTCCGGTAGTTACCAGATGCAGCTGCTGCTTCCAGCTCATTAGCACGCTTCGACCACCAGGCTTCTCGGTCCTTACGCAAGCTTTGCCCAATTTCCTTACGTAACATCCTTCGTTTATGGTCAAACTCACGGTCACCCGGAGTAGACCGACGGGCTTCAATGAGTTGTAAGGAACCAGAAGAAACCCAGTGCTTAAAAGCGGGACGTTTCGCAAACCCACAACTGACTGTTCCCGCCATTTTCATGGCGTCATGCAATTGCAACCAATGCTCATCTATACTTTTCGGTGGAGTGGTAGCTAGCCTAGAGGCTAGCTCGGTTCGATACTTACTTGCAACAGAAGTTGCAACCAGCTTGCTAACATCAATCCGTTGGTGGTGGTCACTTCGTTGTCCACTGAAAAGTAAGGCAAGATTGGCGCAGACCAAGGCATGGTCAGAGTCCAGATAGGTACTCCAAAAGGAGCGGCAGTCTTTACACAACCACGCCAGCGGTAGCTGATCGCGATGTGATCAATCTGAGTCCAGGCTTGAGATGCAGAGGGAGGACGCCAGGTGGCACATCGGCGATGACTGTGCCGAAAGTTAGTGCTAGCCAGAAACAGGTTGTGGTCTGTGCACAGTTGCAGTAGACGGTCCCCGTTATCTGACCTGCGACCAACAAGTCCCCATCGGCCACCTAAACGACTCTCTTCTGTGCCTAGACGCCCGACCTGAGCATTCAAGTCTCCGGCTAGTACTACAATATCTGTCGAACGCACTTTCTGGAGAAGAACAGATAACTGGTGGTAAAACTCATCCTTGATTGCATCCGGGCTGCAATCTGTCGGGGCATAGGCGGAGATGACGAAAAGACATCGTTTCTCACGCCGATTTCTTCTCACTTTGATGGAACTTTCTAATCTAACAGCACATAACCGACTGTTAATGGGGATCCAATCGACTAGTGCTGCCTCAGCTCTAGCGCTTAGTGCGACACCAACGCCAGCAAGACCAGACGAAGATGCCACAGGGTCCCCGGATAAGCGCACGTAAAACAAGCTTTTCGAAGCGACAGATGGAGATCGAATTTGTAGTACTTCGCCAGAGTCTTGAATACGGGTCTCGGATAGACAACAAACATCAATATTAAGACTTTCCAAAGACATAGCCAGCCCTATCTGTTGTCCGACCTGCATAAATGTGCGAACGTTGAAGGCAGCCAGTTTGAATGGTGCACGTGGTTTCAGAAAAACTGCTTCAGTACTCGTATTCGGTGGTAACATACAATTTTCAACCGGACAGTGACTCGAGAACGTTTAGATACAGTCGGATTTCCACCAAAGACGAGCCGCTGTATAAGTATAAAAGAGGGTGAATAATGTGGGAAATAATAATAATAATAATAATAATAATAATAATAATAATAATAATAATAATAATAATAACGACAATAATAGTAATAATAATAGTATTAATAATGACAATAATAGTAACGATAATTATTTGAATCGACTGATTGTTTTTCGGAGCGATAAAAGTAGTTGCCAAAGACATAGAGTTCCCACTTTGCCCCCGAATGCCCTGGTACGGCCGAGAGTGGGGTGAGCCCGCTCTCCCTCTCGAAATACTCTCACACGGCCACGCGTATACAGCCTCTGCCAGGGAAGTCCTACTCATTGCCTTCTCGTGGCGGGGGTGTTGTTTACGAAAATGAGAGGACGAAAAGCGAATGTCCGGCGCTTTAACCGGATCACAAACCAATGGTGCACATGGGCTCCAGTATCCTGCAGGAACAAATGGCGTATGAACCAATCTTTGGTCACCGGCTACCATGGGATTGCATCTCCTTACGATGCTCCACTGCCTTGTGGGTTAGACCTTTAGGTCAAAGGCTCGAGGAGTGGCCCCTAAGAAAACCACCTGCTTCGGTTTGGGCACCCGGGCAGTATCACAGCCCACACACAAACGATGAACTCTATGTCTTTGGCTATATTTGAAGCGATTACGAGTTCACCTAGTCTGCGAATGGAACAAAGACCAATAAGCTAGCTATTCTGATGCGTCTCAGCTCCGCTAACTAGAGAGTAAAATCCAAGTTCGAAACGGGGAAATATATCCCGCAAGTAGCCAGAAGCACGAGTAATCCTGACATAACAGTAAGTATGTTATTTTACTACGTACAAAGAACCTATACGACTAGATAGTTTTTATGTCGTTTGATATCAGTCCAATTGTGAGCTGACTTCAATAAATCGATCTCGTAAGCTGTCGACATCTAGGTATACAGTATTATTGCGTTTTATATATCGATCAGGTCTTTTTTTAGTTTAGCCAATCAAAAACTCACTCACCAAACCATACTCCGTAACATTTCATTATAAAACATACTTTCAGTATCGCATTTCAATAGATGACTTTCATTAAATCATTAACTCTTTACATTAAAAGTTGGTGGAAATCGTTCAATTTCTGCATAATACCTTGGATAATGGAATGGTTTTAACCAAATCACCACTAAAGACCTGGAAGTAATGGACAGATGTTTCGCCCTAGTATGGGGACATCCTATCATCAGTGCATGCTCAGAGTCTCTCCAAGTGTAAAGCCCAAGAATTCTAGGCTTCAAGTCGCAGATTTACACTTCCAACTTTAGTAAATTTGTGATTTTATAGTAGATCAATTACATGATATATTGAACATAATAAACAGCCTCTGTACATTATTCATATTATAGTTTTACTGCTGCTTGTACAAAAAAGGGTTTGTTCAAACGAGTACAAAGGGTTGAGAAAAATTCAATGAACATTCAATTAATAAGTTGGTACGTTGTTGAACTTTAGACAATTGGAAGTAAGAAGTAAAATGTTCTCAAGATTAAGATATCTTGCTTGCTAATCAATAGGGCGTAACTAAAACGTCAAGAAAACCAATTCTGCCCCAGTAGTTTGGAAGTGATATAGTAATGATTTAGTGGTTAAAGCACTCGGCCTTCATTCATTAAAGATGCAAATGTAAACCCCACTGCACTCACTACAGTTTGAGCACCTGGGTAGTATCAATAGAAAAATTTATCATATCAGTTCGGGACGGAGTTAGTCAGAGGTTCAAGAGGATATTTCAAGGTCAAAATCTATGTCAAACGAATGGAAATCATCGCTTATACTGATATGAAATTATTTTAAACCTCATTTTGCAACACTTCAAGAATGTTTTGGTTAACACAGTTTGTTAAGCTTCTGAAGTGCACAAAGTAGAATAATTTGGGCAAGATAAACTGTGTTACGCTCAATGAAATAGAATGATAAATCCGTGTAAACAATACAGTAGCTAAGCTTCCTTTCATTTCTAATATTACGTACAACTATGTAGATAAGTAATTTCTAAAATATAAATTATTTTTGCCAGTAATTCTAGCGAAGAGAATCGATGTTCAAACTGGATCTTACATGAAATAACATTCAAATCGCTAGCGGTCCCATTCTTGATTGCTAAACTAGCTACATGACATAAATATATGAGCACAATAAGAACCACCACTTTACCCTTTAAAAATATTTTTTTTCATCATATCTCATGTAACGAAAGTGAGTTGACCAATACTTACCAGTATGGTGTTCCAATGAAAGAATTTCGACGTTGAATTGTCTGTGTGATTTGAGCTGCAACACCAAAATCGGCTGCAAGCAAATAAAGATAAACGAAATTTTTAAAACTGCAAGATTTTGCTATCATTACAGATAAGTGTTTTGTGTGACGAACTTTTAAAATAATTCCCAACTAGTTGGTATAAGTCATTTCGAGAATAAGAATGATTTGGTCGGTTATTTCTGCGAATTAAAGGTGACTGTTTTGTATGGCCACATCGCAAGAAAAATGATTCACTGTAAGTTGAATCCCTTGACTCTCACCGAGGCTAGTGACTTTATCTATTAAAGGTCAGAAAATGTTGTCGTGTTTAAATTAGAAACTTAGACCAAGATAGTTAATTGTAACAAGTAATAAAAATAACTATGTATCTAAGGTCAAAGAGTTGACTGGATAAGTTATTGTAAACAGTTAATTGCACCAACATCATAGTTGATATACAGTTACGTAAAAATGAGTTATACGGTTGAGACAAAAATCCATAGGGGTTCTAAACTCAGTATTAGGTACTATTTCATCTACTTATCCAAAGGGTACAAAAAATGGGCCACATAAGTGAATCGATCATATTGTAAAAAAAAGGATTGTCGTAAATACCATAGGCAAAAAAAGACAGTATTAGTTGAAAGACACAAGGACAATAGTCTTTCAGGTATATAAATCCCCGCTATAGCTAAATAACAACGAATAAAATTAGACACATTTTGGCGATCATATATATATATATATATATATATATATGGCTCGACAGAAGAGAAACGATGAGTCGCTTTATTTTTCAGTGATTTGTAACCGATGACCAAATACTAGTTAACGTCTGATATACAAACTATAATCGAAGTGCTGTTTTCTCAACTTTTCTTAAAAACAGGGCAATTTGTGCATCAAATATGTGCGATCTCCAAGTGGAAAAAATAGTGATTTTATCCAAAAGAAGGTTACGTTAAGTTGAGGAATGTTGGGAATTCAACTTTCCGTCATTGAAACGTTACAAATGTTAGTTTACTATTCAAATTTCTGAAACACGAACAACATATACAGCGAATAAATGAACTCACCAATTTTGACATCACCGTCAGTCGTCAGTAGAATATTTGCACCCTATAAATTTAAAATCAAAAAAATGTTACGGATTCATACTATGGAAAAGGTAGATTAAGTATATATATATATATATATATATATATATATATATATATATATATATATATATATATATATATATAAACATTCTAAACAAATCAGTCAGTCAGCCACAACGTAAAGCCAGGCACATATATACATGAGTCCAAGTTGCCATACCTCATTAACACAACAAGACGAACACCGAACTGATAGAAGTAGTCATTTCAAAGGTAGCAATATATAAAAGAGAGATTGCACATAAGGATATAGTACAGGAAGAAAGAATTAGAAACGTAAAAAGTAATTTTCATCTGACAGTCGAAGGGAAGACAAAGAGTGCATACACCGACACCATTGTGACCGATTCTGAACCATGTCACCCACAATCTTTAACCACTGGCTACGACAGTCACGCGGACTCTAACCAAGTACTCTGCATCTACCAACATGGCTTAAACCACAGGTTAGTGACTTCAAGCACTGATGCCACGTTTTGGTTCGGATGCCCCTAACTTTCTACCAGGCACCCCTCAACACTGATTAGCATTGCGCGTCGTGGTAATCGATGTTCAGGCATACGTAACACGCGGCCCAACCATCTCAGTCGATGATTTATAACCTCATCAACTGGCAAATTATGAAAGACAGTTATCTGGGATAAAATTATCCTGAGAGTCCAGAAGCAATAACTACGACCGTTAGTTCAAAACCAATGAAGACATTCATACAATCAGTAGGGATATTTATAGCTTTCTAAACCAGTCAACACCCAAGTGTGCAATACTCAATGCAATTACGAGTACCAATGTATAGCAACAAATTATGACCACGGTTGCCAGCTGAAAAAAGGTCTGCTGCTTCATGTGGCCAGTTTTGTAAATAACATTAATTCTACTAAATCGGTAAGTTGGAGAGAATAAAATGTTTTAGAAGCATAGCTTCATAGAAAACGAAATCTGGTACAAAATGATGTAAAACTATTCGACATTAACAGTAAGTTTTGAAACACCAATTACCTTAATGTCACGGTGTATTTTCCCTGCTTTATGCATGTATTCTATGCCTCGTAACGTTTCCCTGGATACAAAAGCTATGCAATTCTCTTCAATGGGTCTCTGGATATCTATATTTTCGTATTATGCCATGAATCAAGACGCCTACTTGTGTAAATATCCTGCATAGAGAACCCTCCACAGAACTCCATACATATCCACAATTTATTATTTCTACATTTATTATAACGACAAGTACTATACCTGAAATAGCTACCGAAGAATTGTACGATGTTGCAGTGTCGACATTCGCGGAGTGTTTGTATCTCCTGAAGTATAGCACGTACATCATCCTTAGCATCGACTTTAATTATTTTGACAGCAGCGAATTCCTTTGTCCTTAACCGAATGGCCTGAAAACAATATATCACTTTACAGATGATACCTTGTAAACCTCGCCGTATGTGCCAGTCCCAATGCTCTGGATTAGCTTATATTCTTCCTTTGGGTCTTTATTGTTTACGAACTCCCTTATGTACCCTAACTTCTGCTCGCTAAGTTCTGATCTAACTGCCATTTTGAAGAAACTCCATCACTGGCTTCTGCACCGCAAACAACCAAACAGGCCGCTTTCATAATACCCTAATTCCAATATCTTTGTCACGAGCTTGTATGATATTGTTTAATAGATGGCAGTCTAGATACCCCAACAACAGTGTTGAACCTCGATCATATAGACTCTAAGATAATCCTAAGGTCGGAGAAGCAACGTGATCTTCTGTTGAGTAGCGCTCATAGTTACGACAATACTGACATTCAAGTAAGACCTTATATGCCTCTTTAAGATAGAACAAAAAAGAGTTAGCACTAGCTGAACTAGAAACGTGTCGTCAAAATGGTGAGGAAAGTCTTCGATTAGTGGGTTTTCGAATAGTCAGGTCTTGGGAGCGAATGCTACCAAAGCTTGTATGGATAAGCTGTTCTCCCTAGGAGCTTTATATGCCAATTCTCGTAGTCTAAGAAACAAATTCCATGAACTAGAAGCACTACTTAGCAAATTAAGGCCACTCATTGCAGCTGTGACGGAAACTTGACTAGTCCAAGACATTGACATTACTCCTGAATTATCCGGATACCACTACCTAAGTGATAGACATAGATGTGGGAAAGGAGGTGGCGTCCAATAATGTAAATATCCTCTCCACTGCTTGCGAATCTCATGATAGTGGAGCTTTTGAAGTTATTAGCTGTGAGTTCACTTTCGGATAATGTACATTTATACTCGGTGTCATCTATCGCAGCTCAATCTGCTTAGATGATAACTTTAGTTTAGGGCACATTCAGCTATGGAGTGCAAATAACAGATGCTAGATATTAGGAGACTTTAGTGCATCTGATATTAGTTGGACTGAGATAGCCCCGGTAGGATCTAGTAGAGCATATACATAATCCCACATGTTTTCGTAATCACTAATACGACTGAGGATACTGCCAACCTAAATATTCTTCCACCGCCAACAAATAACAACCACGCTGTTTTATCATTCACGTCTAGAGCTTTGACATGAAATACAATCAGGCTAAGCCTCGCCTAAATGTACGGAGAGCTAACATACCAGCCATTCAGGAGTGCGCTGCTAAGACATATTGGTCAGTGGATACTGGCTCATCAGTTGAAGATGCATGGTCCATATTTAAAGACAAGCTTAGTCCAGTTGCGGCCTCGTTCATATCATGACTGGTATCACGTAGATCGAATAATTGTCCACCATGTGGCTGGTGATACTCTGAAATATAGGTTAACGAAACTAACCAGCAGGACATTCTTGCGTTGACTTTCTCTTGTCGACCGGTGATGTCTACGCAAACGAAGGATAGGTTACCTGAGTTGGCCTCCTCAATGTGCATTTACAAATTCAGCTGCTCCTGTGGAGATAGCTTTATCGGGCGTACTACCAGGCAACTTAACCAACGAATGAGTGAACCTCTACTAGCTTGGTTTATATATGGCCAGATAAAAACAATTCGCAGTTCTATCTTGGCACATCTTATTGATAGTGGTCATGCTGTAGATAAATCGAAATCATTTCGAGTAATCTATCGTATCCTTCCACCATTTCCCAACGGAGTTCCTGCCCGCCCCCTACATATAGCTGAAGCCATAGGAGTTCGTACATATAACTCCAATTTATGTGTACAAAAGAAATTCGTAACCCCTCTATCCCTTGTGTGGCCAGTTATAACTTAACTAACGATTTTTTTCCAATTTTTATCATTATTATTGTATTGTTGTTATGTATTTATTTTATTCGACTTTTGTTATCATTAACCTTATTTTCACATCCATTATTTGTAATTTTCCGCTTCTTTCCGTTTGCATTCTTCACTACCTAATTATTTATACACTTCTTATTACGTAATGATTTTAATGTTTTGTGATGACTATTCCAAGTCTATTTACCCACGTTTAACCTTCTATTCTCAACGCTTAACTATTGACAAGAATCTTGTTATCGTATTTTATTATTCTTACTACTATCAGTACACCTGTCATCCTACTATCAATATGTAATTTTACCTATTATGTGACTTATTCTACTTCATTGTGATTATTGACCCATATTGCCTTGATTGGTTTAACATCGTATAAATATTCATGTATATTAGAGTAAAGCCTGATGACGACCCAATTGAAAACAATTGTTCGCTTATATGTGTTGTTATACCTAAACAAGTCAATAAACTTCTTGGACGTAGGAAAAAGAATCGGAATATGCTCATCTCTACTGGCTTAGGACAGTACAGATTCAGTTATTGTAGGACTAGGGATGATTTTAAAGTGCTTATAAGTGAGACTAGACAGTCGTATGAAAAATAATAGGCTATGGATTGTAAAAATAGTCAGAAGCGATTATTCTCCTATACAAAAAGGCGAACTCAGACAAGCGATGGAATCCATCACTTTTGATATAAAAACATCCGTTAATACTGGCGATAAATGGTGCCAAAAAAGCTAAAGCTTTATCGGAATATTTTAGTAAAGTGGTGAAATGAGATCACAGGATAGACAGACATCATCATCCATTGCGAAACATTTGATTGAGACGGGTCATAAGGTTGATATTAAATCAGCACTTGTTGTGTTGTACAAAAGCCTTCAAGGACGTATACTAAGGTTTATTGAAGCCTTGGCTATACGAAAATTGAAACCTCCTTTATGTGTTCAGAGACGATTTGTTCTTACACTTAACCTACCCTGGTAGTACTGATTTACTATCCACAGTGGTAATCACATTTGTTTTTGTGTACTTTAATATTTTTCCTTTGTTATGACTTACCCTTAACCTGTCATGTTGACCTTTTAATTTTCATATATAAATGTTCTTAACAAGTATATATGTGATCAGATTGTTCGAAATGTATTGCGCAAATATATCACATAATTCTGATAAACTACGTCTTCTCATTGCATTATCGAAATTTATCAAGGGGACAAATTGTTTTAAAAGTGTTTTCTATCAGCGATGAGGAACGACTAAAGATTATTTGTGATTGCGACTGCTTGCTGATGGACCCTGTATTTATTGAGAAAGGTACTGTCTTAAGACTACTTCAGCATCGCAAACCTGACAAATCCAGTGGTCTTGATGATATTCATCTTAGGACTATGAAAACCCTAGTGCTGAACCTAAATCAGTCCAGACTCCCAAGAGACTGGAAAGACGCAATAATTAGTCCGGCATATGGGGCGGAAAGTAGAGATTTAGTTAGTAACTATCGACTCATTAGTCTGACCAGTGCAGTTGTAAAACTAATGGAAAAGATTATTCGGATATCTGTTATAAATTATGTGGAAGGGCATAATCTTTTATCCAGGGAACAACGTGGTTTTCGGAAAAACCTATCATGTTTCACAAATCTGCTCATTGCTCATTGGGCCCGAAATATTTTTGTAGATGTGATTTTCATAGATCTAAGGAAAGCCTTTGATAAGGTCTCCCATTCGAGTCTCAAATTAAAACTGGAAATTTTTGGAATCCATTATCAGCTCTTAGACTTGAAAAGTGACAGAGGACAGTGGGTAAGTGTAAATGTAGCTATCTCATCGAGGGAACCTGTAAAAAGTGGAGTTCCTTAAGGTATAATCCTAGGTCATCTTTTTTACTTTATGTAAATGAATTACCAACTGTAGCCAAGTCATCCGTCCTACCCTTCGCCGATGGCATAAATATTTGGAAATCCATAAACGGTATGCCAGAAAGAGTAGTATTACGGGAGGTATCATAGATGGACGGATGGTCACTGGAAGTGAATTCTAGTAAGAGTATGATGATACAATAAAATAACTATGATGACTCGTATCACTGCACTGCTACAAAAGGCTATAGGGCAATATGGCCTATTCGCAGGTCTTTTCAGTATTTAGATGAAGAAATGTTTGGATTACTATGCTCGACTTTCGTGAGACCGCATATGGAATATGGAATTCAAGCAGCGATTCCTTGTTTCAAGTATGAAGAGGATATGCTGGAACGAGTTCAACGACGAGGGACACAAATGGTAACAGGCCTCTGGCCAATCTTGTGAAGACAGAATGACACACCCCAACTTATTCCCGACATCTTACCGTAGAATGCGGGTTTACTGAACGATGGCCTTGGTATTAACATGTCTTATCTTCTCCTTCCTTCGAGGACTGACCATTTGAGAGGACATTCGAAGAAAGTTCAAAAACAGAGATCAAATCGTCTATATCTGGAGCTTTGTTTCTTGCACCGAGTAGTGAATTACTGGAACTCTCCACCATCAGGATCTTCTCGTCATCTGCATAGATCAACGCCATCGCGCCAATTTTATCTAACAGGTTGACACTAAAGATCAAGAACAAAAGTGCAACTGATATTGTTCACTGTGAAACCTTTAATGCTGAGACCTTCCAATTCATCAGCACTTTGTTGACCTTGGTAGGAAACATCCTGTTCTCTAGGTGATTTCAGGTCCAGGACAAAAGTGTAACGATGAAACCTGTCTTTTAGAAATCGAAGAGTTTATTTGAACCGGTATCTTATAGTCCTAGCAAGTCGTTCAGCTGTCTTATGCTGTGAGGAGACTAGATGCACATTACCTGCCTTTCTTGAACTCGTATTTAGCTTAATAGAGGAACCTTTTTATTAATTCGTTACGTCACTTGTTCATCCATTAGTTCTTCCATTACCCTTGACAGTTTTGAGGGTAATACAGATGCTGTGTGGCAAGTTGTGCTTTTATATCTCCTCCTTTTAATAATGGGGAGAGATTACCTTCGTTTGACTCTCTTGAGAGTTGATGTGAATCCAGTGAATGTTGAACAGGTCACAAACTTGTAAGCTGATGGCTTCTGTACACTGTTTCAGGAGAATAGGTCGGATGTTGTCCTTGACTGTCCTTGGCTAACGGGTTTTTGTCTCTTTAGTACTAACCCTGGCACTAGAGTTTAGTGGTGTTTCACGCAGGTTCCTAGTTCAGTTGGTCTATGAGGTCGACATTGAAGATTTCTGTCACGTCTAATTTAGTGGTACCTGCGTCGTTTAGCGATCC